GCCGGAGGCAAATCCCCTCCCTGTCCTTCTTGCTTCCTGCCCCAGGCCCCGAGCTGAGGACGGAGAGCCCGGAGGACAAATCCCCCCGTGAGACCCTGGTGGGAGAGGCCGTTTTGAAGGGCTCCACGGCACAGGAAGGCAGCGGGGAGGAAAAGGGCTGGAGATCCCCCCACAGGAGGGGCTCCAAAGCCAGCCCAGGGTGCTCTGAGGAGGAAAGACCCAGCCTGTGCTGGGAAGGGGACCGGAGCTTGAGGCAGAGCTCCAACCTGGTGGTCCCTGAGCAACCTCCCAGCAGGGATAAGCCGTTCAGGTGCTTGGAATGTGGGAAGAGCTTCAGGAAGAGCTCTCACCTGCTCCGACACCAGGACATGCACACTGGGGCACGTCCCTACACATGTGGGGAATGTGGGAAGAGCTTCAGTCAGAACTACCACCTCTGCACCCACCAGCTCATCCACACCAGGGAACGGCCTTACACGTGTGAGGAATGTGGGAAGAGCTTCAACCGGAGCTTTCACCTTCGTTCCCACCAGCACATCCACACTGGAGAATGTCCTTACACGTGTAGGGAATGTGGGAAGAGCTTCAGTGTCAGCTCCACCCTCCGTAAACACCATCGCACCCACACCGGGGAACGGCTCTACAAGTGCTTGGATTGTGGGAAAAGGTTTCCAACCAACTGGAATCTCTACAGGCACCAGCGGACACACACGGATGAGAGGCCCTTCCGCTGCACCGACTGTGGGAAGAGCTTCAACCAGAACTCCCACCTTGTCACCCACCGGCGCATCCACACCGGAGAGAGGCCCTACAAGTGTGGGGAGTGTGGCAAGAGCTTCAGCCACAGCTCTACCTTGACTAAACACCAAAGGACCCACCAATAAAAGAAGCCCTACGAGTGCTCCAACTGCAGGAAGAGCTTCAGCTGCTGCTTCCACCCCGAATGAACTCCCTGATGGTGAGGCAACCCCTGGAGTCCAGTGACTGTCAGTCCATGCCTTTCGACCAGAAAGGGCCAGTCCCCTTTCTCAGGGACAGCTTCTTCCAACAGAACCCTTCCAGGGGGGGTGTGTGGAGATTCCTGCCTTGGCTGGCGATCTCCCCCCAAGGTCACTGCTGGAGGTTGAGAGCAGAGATCTCCCCACGAGCGTTGGTCTGGGGGAGTTCCATCCATCTCTAATTAAGAATTATTGCTGTTGTGCCAGCTTTAGGAGAATTGCTTCAACAATTGCTTTAGTGTAGAGCACTGTCCTATCTTATCCTGTACTCCTGGTAGTTTTAGTGTTTCTATTGTGCAGCAAATAATTCTGATGAAGATCTTTTGTCAGATCATTTGTAACTCTAAATAAATTCCTTTCTATCAATAGATCTGATTTGCCATCATTAAACATGTGGGACAAAAGTGTTTCAGTCACACCTCTGTAATTCTTCTAAACTGCAACTGTTGGCATAATCTAAGGCTGAGATTGGATCCAGCAGCCCCCAGCACCCCACAGGAAGTTGGGAGCTCAGAGGGGCCAGCCCCCTTTGCCAACCCCCCTGTGCCCGAAGACCCCCATGGGACTGTCAGACCCTCCAGACCACCCCCCTTTTCCACCCTTCTCCCTGTTCCTCCCACTTTCCCATT